TAAAGAGTATAGATTTGGGGCCAGGGATTTAACTCAGTGGCTCAAGCACTTGCCAGGTAAGTGCAAGGTGGTAAGTGCAAGGTTGTGAGTTTGATCCTCAGTACCAAACAAACAAAAAACAGAGTATGGACTATTTAGCTAGAAATGTCTCAAGCTTATCCACCTTCACAATATAGTAGTACTCTAGCAAATTAAAAAACACATCTTTATCCATTTATCAGTTTATGGGCATTTATTTGAACTATTTCTAAGATTTAGCTATTAAGGGGCTGAGGATTTAGCACAGTGGCCTAAGCACCTGCCTGGCAGGTGCAACGTTGTAAATCTGATCCCTAGTACAAAAAAAAAAAAAAAAAAAAAAAGATTTAGCTATTATAAATTGCCAGGTTTATTTTTTTTATTGTTTTATTTTTTGTTTTTTGAGATAGTCTTACAGTGTAGACCATGGTGGCCTTGAACGCATTACGTAGCTCAAGCTTATTTTATTTAGTTACTTATTTTTGAGACAGTCTCACTGCATAGTCCAGGTTGTCCCTGAACTCATTATGTAGCCTAGGCTGGCCTCTAACTCATGGCTATCTTCCTGTCTCAGCCTCCTGAGGGTTGGGATATAGGTATGCACCACCATACCTGGTCTGGTTTAATTTCTTGACAATAGCCATTCCTTTTTTGGAGTAAAATCGAATCTGTGTTGTTTTAATTGGCCTTTCTCTAATGGCTAGTAATATTGAGTGTTTTTTCATATATTTATTAGCCATTATTATTTTCCCTGAGAAATGTCTATTCACTTCAGCTGCCCATTTTTTTTTTTTTTTTTTTTTTTTTTGTCTTTTTCATTTTTTATCGGTACCGGGGATCGAACTCACGACCGCCTGCTTGCAAAGCAGGTGCTTATGCTGCTGAGCTAAATCCCCAGCCCCAGTTGCCCATTTTTTAAATGTTTTTTTTTTTTGTCTTTTTTGAGAGGGGGTCTCACTAGGCAGTTCAGGCTGGCTTTGAGCTCACTCTGTAGCCCAGGCTGGTCCCTGACTCGCAATGATCCTCCCACCTCAGCCTCCTGAGTGCTGGGATTACAGGCGTGAGCCACCACGCCCGGCTCAGCTGCCCATTTTTTGATTGAGCCTTTTATTTTGGTAATTTATTATTTATTTACTTTGAGTTCTTTATTGAAGGTATTATTCCTCTAAGGAATGGTTGGCAAACTTTTTCCCCATTCTGTAGGTTGTCTCTTTACTCTGTTGGTTGTTTCCTTTGCTGTGCAGAAGCTTCGTAATTTGGTAAGACCTTATTTGTTTTTTGGTACTATTTCTTGTCCGTTAAGTTCTATTCAGAAACTTTTTGCCTCCACCTGTTTTCAGGAGTTTGAGCTACTTTATCTTAGAGCAGATTTTTCTGTGTAACATTTAGATTTTGAACCATTTTAGTTTTATTATTTATTTTTGAAACAAGGTTCCACTATGCAGTTCAGGTTGGCCTTGAACTCAATTTGTAGCCCAAGTTGACATCAAACTCGCAGCAATTATCCTGCCTCAGCCTTTTGTGCGCTAGGGTTACAGGTGTGCACCACCATGCGCAGCCAAAAAATTTTTTTGGTACTGGGAATCAAACTCACGCCCTCTCATTTACCAAGGCAGGTAGACAAATATACTTTTACAATGAGGGACCAGGGATATAGCTCAGTGGCAAAGTGCCTGCCTGGCATGTACAAGGTTGTGAGTCCAGCCCCTGGTACAAAAAAAAAAAAAAAGAAAAAAAGAAATGGCAACTGTTTAAAAATTTAAAATTTGTGGGTCAGGGATTTAGCTTAGTGGTATAAGTGTCTGCTTGGCAGGCATGAGGTCCTGAATTCAATTCCCCATACCAAAAAGTTTTTTTTTTTTAATTGGTGCTGGAGATTGAACTCACGACCGCCTGCTTGTAAGACAGGTGCTTATGCCAATGAGCTAAATCCTCAGCCCCTACCAAAAAGTTTTTAAAAAATTATTGAAAATGCAAAATGAAGGTGCTAGAAAAAATTATTTCTTAAAAAAATAGAATTACTATATGATGCAGCCATGTTGTTTCAAAAGGAAGTTTCATAAACTTTCCATGTAAAGGGTATCTTAAAACTTTGGACATAAATATTAAGAAGCATTCAATGATTAATATACAAATTTTTTTTAAACTTATTTTTTTGTACCAGAAATCGAACTCACGACCTCGCGCTTGCCAGGGAGGCATTTATGCCAATGAGCTAAATCTTTGGCTAATATACAAATATTTTTACAACCTATTTATACTACCTATATTTGGAGTTGTCTTGGAAAATATGCTTGGCTATATTTAATCTCATACTTTTATTTTTTTAGACAGAATCTTGCCATGTCCCAGGAAGGCCTAGTGACAATCCTCTTTGCCTTAGCCTCCCAGGTGGTGAGGCTACAGGTGTGCACCATGACACGTGACTCATACTCACTTTTTAAAAATTTCAAATCTATAAGAGAGGAAAAAATACCCCAAAATTTCAACACAGTAATTAGGGATTACCAATGGTATATACATTGTATAATATATATATATATATATATATAAAATATGCATATTATATATGTATGTATACAGTTCCAGCTTCTCCCAGCAGTGATATGATGTTTACATATATGTGTCTGGTTTATTTCCTTTGAGTATGTAGGGTTTTTTTTTTTTTTTTTGTCCTTTTCCTTTTTATTGGTACTGGGGATCGAACTCACGACTGCCTGCTTTCAAGGTAGGCGCTTATGCCGCTGAGCTAAACCCCCAGCCCTCCTTTATGAGTATGGTCTCCAGTTGCATGTATTTACCTATAAATCTCCACTTTATCCTTCTTTGTGGCTGAATAGTACGCCACTGTATAAAAATACTCCCATCTTTTTTATTCATTCCTCGTCAATTGACAGTTGTTTCCAAGATCTAGCTATTACAAATTGTGCTGCTATAAACATGAGTGCACATATATCACTGTGGTTCATGGTCACTTTTAAAGTGCATCTTTGCTGTTGCTTTGTTCTTTGCTCTTAATTTTGGTACCACGGATCGAACTCAGGACCTAGCATGTGCCAAACAGGCACTTGTGCTGTTGAACTAAACCCCCAACCCTGTTGCTTTGTTCTTTGAGACAGGATCTCACAATGTAGTTAAGCTGGCCTTGAAATTTACTATGTAGCCAAGGCTGAGTGAGTGCTAGGTTTACAGGGGCCTGCCACCATAACAGTTTTAAAGGGCATCTATTCTTTTTTTTTTTTTGTCTTTTTCCGTTTTATCGGTACTGGGGATCAAACTCACGACTGCCTGCTTGCAAGGCAGGCGCTTATGCCGCTGAGCTAAACCTCCAGCCCCAGGGCATCTACTCTTTTTTTTTTTTTTTTTTTTTTATAGAATACTTTTTTTTTTTTTTGTGGTACCGGGCATCGAACTCACAGCCACACACTTGCAAGGCAGATGCTTAAGCCGCTGAGCTAAATCCCCAGCCTAGGGCATCTACTCTTATAACTCTCCATTAGTACACCATACTTTCTAGCTCCTCATATTAAAATTGTATAAAAATAACTATGTTCTATGTATAAAGAACACATACATAGTACAATGTTCTGTGAGCAGAATATGGATGGCTATCATAAGATCGGTAAGTCAGGAGGCAGGATTGTACACGTGGAAATGTCATGGATATTTCATTTCTGTAGCAGTGACTGAATGAATATCTGGAAAAGCAGAAACAAGGGCTGATAGACTGTCCAAGAGAACCAAACTCAGTATCCCCAAGATCTTTGGTGGACTCATGCTAGAACATTTTTCTTAGGTCATCATTACTGTGCATCTAGGAAAGGGTAGGCTTGTATTTTGGCTCATGAGTATAATCCTTTTGTTAGTTACCACTGTTACCATATAACAGTATTAATCTATAAAAAAACTATTCATGTGAAATAATCTTTAGGTTTTCCTAGTTCTGAGTAGAAGTCCTAGAATCCTGCCTTCTTGTTCTAGTTGTTTTACTCTGCATTCATACTTCCTGGAGTCTTAAAATCAACCAAGCATATTTCCACTTACTATAAACTGGCAATTGCTGTCCTTTTCTGTAGGCCAGACAGCTGAGGGGTTTTTTAAGACTAGGTTCTGCTATGTAGTGCAGGCTGGCCTTGAATTCGTAATGCTTGCACCTCAACCTCCGAGTAGTGGGATTATAGGCATGTACCACTATGCCTGGCTCCTATTTAATTTTTTAAATGTCAGATGCTTAAACCATGAAATGTCTTTTTGCTTATTTAGATGTTTAGAGATCTCAGGGTTTTTTTTTTTAAAGAGCTATTTAAAATATACAAAATTTTATTACAGATTTCATACATGTAGTAAACATTGGTTATATAAGTAATCCTTAAGAAAGGTCTTCAATAACATGGTTCAAGTTAAGCTTACTGCTCTCTCAGATGTAGAAGTTACTGTTTTAGCAGTTTCCTAATTCTCAAATATAACTTCTCTGCAATGATTGATTTATTTGGGATTTTCAGAGTTCACATTACCTATGAGATAGGTTGTTACACAAGATTTTATATGGATAATATTTTTAATAATTTTCTTCACTGCAATTATACTGTCAAATTTTACTCACCCGTTGCAGTTTTCAATATCCTTTTCTAAGAATTGCTTGTTGTTGAATAAGCGATAACCTAAGATGTAAAGCACTCTTACAATCACAAGATCTATTTTTCTGCAGTATGAATTTTTTTGGCATGAATTCAATAACTAAAGATCTTCATACATTATGTTCATATTGCCTCTCGTAATTACTATATTATGTTTCTTTTAAGTGAGAATTTTTGTTTAAATGAGTGCCAAAGACATTGCTATACTAATTGGATTTAAAGTTATCTCTCTTCAAAATCAAACATGTTGAGAAAGGTATGTTTGGCAACATCCAACATATCTATATATAAAGACTTAAATACTGATGAATAATTCCAGCATTAGTTAAGAAATACACACCAAAAGACATAACCAAGAACATTTATAGCAATATTTTAACATAAAATTATAAAAAAATACAAATATCCGTCTATAGGATAAATAGCAGTATATCCTTGAAATAGTATAGAAAATGAATACACTACTGCCACATGCAGTAATGTTCAAATCTTTAAAATGTTCAGTGAAACAAAGCAGGACAGAAAAAAATTCATGATATATGTTAAAATATATATACATATGTTAAAATATATATACATATATATATGTATAGTTTAAAGATGTGTAAAAGTTATAAGTCATGGAAGTAGTCATCTCTGGCGAAGAAATAACTAATTACAATTTATACAGAATACAATGAGAATTAGTTTATAGCTTCTTTCTCTTATAGAGCTTAATTCTGATAATTTTGCATGTATTATATAAATATTTTTTAAAAAGCATTTGGGTCAGCAGGAATAGCTAAAAACTAGCTTTACAGATGGCTGAGTTCAGTAACAATGATCACATCCTTTTCTTATGCTTTGAAACAGTAAATAGTTATATAGTGAGAAACTGTAATAACTATTACTACATTTGTGATTAAAATCACATGAACATGTTTAGCATGCTTTTCTTTCTTTCTTTTTTTTTTTTTATCAGTACCGGGGACCGAACTCAGGACTGCCTGCTTGCAAGGCAGGCGCTTATGCCACTGAGCTAAATCCCTGGCCCCATGCTTTTATTTCTAAACTAAATGATTACAATAGCTTGGAAAGACTTCACAAAGAAATTGCTTGACCTACTACATTTCCAAGTTTTCTCCTTTATGAGTTCTCTGATGGACGATCAGGTTTCTCTTATAACTGAAGGATTTACCACATTCATTACAAACATAAGGTTTTTCACCTGTATGAGTTCTTTGATGAACAATGAGATTTGTCTTCTGTCGGAAACACTTTCCACATTCATTACATTTGTAAGGTTTCTCTCCTGTGTGAGTTCTTTGATGATGAATTAGATACGACTTCCTGCTAAAGGCTTTCCCGCACTGAGGACATTCATAGGATTTCTGTCCTGTATGTATTTTCTGATGTACAGTGAGGGTTGCTTTCTGGCGAAAAGACTTCCCACATTCATTACAGATGTAAGGTTTCTCCCCTGTGTGAATTCTCTGGTGTAGATTGAGATTTGTCTTCTGACTGAAGGATTTCCCACATTCATTACATTCATAAGGTTTTTCTCCTGTATGAGTTCTGTGGTGATCAATGAGATATGATTTCATCCTGAAGGCCTTCCCACAGTGAGGACATTCATAAGATTTTTCTCCTGTGTGTGTTCTCTGATGTGCTACAAGGGTTGTCTTCTGGCGGAAGGATTTTCCACATTCATTACAAATATAAGGTTTCTCTTCATTATGAGTTTTCTCATGAAGAGCGAGAGTTGTCTTTTGGGAGAAAGATTTTCCACATTCATTACAAATATAAGGCTTCTCTCCTGTATGGGTCCTCTGGTGTACAGTAAGGTTTGCCTTCTGGTGAAAGGACTTTCCACATTCTTTACAAATATAAGGTTTCTCTCCTGTATGAATTCTTTGATGTAAAGAGAGAGTTGTCTTCTGGCGGAAGGACTTCCCACAATCATTACACACATACGGTCTCTCTCCTGTGTGTGTTCTCTGATGACGAATGAGGTGTGACTTCAATCTGAAGGCATTCCTACACTGTGGACACTCATAGGATTTCTCCCCTGTATGTGTTCTCTGATGATCAGTGAGGGCTGTCTTTAGGCGAAAGGACTTACCACATTCATTACAAACAAAGGGTTTCTCTCCTGTGTGAGTCCTTTGATGGTCAATGAGATATGACTTCCTTCTAAATGCATTTCCACATTCATGACATTGATAGGGTTTTTCCTCTGTGTGAATTCCCTGATGAAGTATCAATACTGACTTCCTGCAGAAAGATTTCCCACATTCAATGCAGGTATGTTTTTTTTCAATATTGGTTGCTCTTCTCCTTTTATTATAAATAGATGGGTTTTCTCCTCTATATATTCTATTAGGTGTAATCAAGCCTCCCTTTTTAAGGAATGTTTTTTCACAGTCATCATATGCAAATGAGCATGTTGGAGTTCCCATCTTCTGATACTGCATAATTACATCATTGTTACTAAAAACCCTACCACTTTGATTATGGGATTTGATTTCGGGATGAACTGTTTCTTGCTTAGTATTAAGGAATGATTTCCCATATTCATTATACTCATTAAGTCTTTTTCTTACAGGACTTAGCTTACAGATTTTTAATTCTGAAACATTTTCCAAAGTCTTTTCATGAGTGTCATATTTAGGAGGTAGATTTTTTAGACTAGCAGGCTTTTTGACTAAGGTAAATGTCTTTTCATATACAGTACTATTCTCCTTTATCAGTTTTTTGTGGTTAATGTATGCAATTGATCTAGAATACTGATCTTGGTGTTCCTTGAATTTCATTAAAATGTCTTCAGCTTTCCAGTTTTCTTCTATAGAAGAATTAATAACAGTTTGTTAATTCTGACACATTTTTTAGGGAAAGGAATTATACAAGAACCTAATAATAGGACAAATTACACTTTACCTACTAGATAAACAAATAAAAAACACTGAATCTAAACAAAATTGCTTCAGTGCGGAAAGAATAAAAAAATAGAGGAAACAACAGTTTTTTGAGACCGAGTCTTGTTATATAGTTTAGGCTAATCTTGAACGCACTATGTAGCCCAGGACAGCCTTGAACTTACAGCAATTCTCTTACCTCAGCCTCTTGAGAGACAGGATTACAGGCCTGAACTGCAGTACTGGGGAATGAATCCAAGGCTTTCACACTGAGTTATATCCCTAATCAATTTTTTATTTTTAATTTTAAAACAGGGTCTCCCTAACTGCAAAGTTGCCAGGACGAAGCACAAACTTGAGGTCTTTTTACCACCTCCTCCCAGGGTGCTGGTATTTCAGCCACGTACTACCATGCCTGACTTCTAATTCTTTCTCTGCCTTAAAGAACGTCAAAGTAAAACAAGCTAAGAAGTTACAGAATGGTGGAAGAGAGACTGAAGGTTGGAAATGTAGATTTAAAGACAATGACATGTATCATGAAAAAAAAAATACCTTTTTTTTTTTTTGGCTTTATCTTTCAAAACATCAATTTTCTTGTTTTTAGAAAAACAATCCTATAATCTAGTTTCTCATCTTTCAAATAGCTGGGAATCATTTTCTCATATAATAAGAGAACAAGGAAAATATTGCTAAGTAAAAATGTAAAAATTGGAGTATATTCCATTGCTATATTTAGATTGCTGGTGGGTTCTTTTATTAGAGTTGTTCACCAATAAAATTCTTGTGACCACTGAAACTATTCTTTTCAGATGCTAACTTATTTTTCAGGATTAAGGAAAGACTAGCTCAAGTTTTCTCCAATGCAGTTAATATTCCTTCACTCCAATTTTTCATATAATGGCACAGAAAGACCAGACTGTTTAATCTAATAGAACAACATAAAAGCTAAGCTCAAAACTATTTCTTCCAGGTTCACTTTTATACTCAGAAGTTTTTAGAGTTGTTCACATATTTGACAAATCTCACCCATCAAATGTAATTTTTGCTTCAAAAGGGTTAGTACTTATTTCCCTATGAATACCTATGTTGGCACTTTTAATCAGTTAACTTCCAGTTTTATTTCTATTCATGTTTAGAGATTCTTCAAGGAAATCCTACTCCTATATGACTTTAACACCCCACCCATTTACAAGTTATAACTTGAATATAACTATGGTATAGAAAATTCATTATAACATTTTTTTTTTTTTTTTTTTTTTTTTTTTGTATCAGGGATCAAACTCAGGATCTTGCATTTGCCAAGTAGGTGCTTATGCTGCTGAGCTATATCCTGGCCCTAACAGATGGGGGTTTTTTTTTTTGGTGGTTTGGGGATTAAACCCAGAACCATTGCATTGCATCCCCAGCCCATGTTATGATTTTATTTTGAGACAGAGTCTGCTTTCATTGCCTAGGTGGGGATTTGAATTTATGATTTGTCTATCTCTCTAAGCACTGGAGAAAATGCCACTGCTCTTAGCCTTAACAAATCTTGTAAGCCTTGTACTTCATCATAAATACTTCATGAAAAATGCAAATGTGATAGTAATCCTTTTACATAGATAAGCATGCTTTATTTACCTTCTTTTAATGTTTATGAATTTACATTATTACTGTGTATCGCATATAGGTGACATTCAAGGTCAGCACAGGCAACCTTGTAAGAGTTATCTTAAAATGGGGGCTGGGGATTTAGCTCAGCGGCATAAGTGCCTGCCTTGTAAGCGCATGGTCGTGAGTTCGATTCCTGGTAGTGATAAAAAAAAAGAGTTATCTCAAAATTAAAAAAAAAAAAAAAAAAGCAGCGGGGTGGGGGGCTATGGATTAGCACAGTGGTAGAGTGCTTACCTATCATGCTACAGTTCTTGAGTTCAGTCCTCAGTTAAAAAAGAATTATATATACAAAAATTATATGTTTGTAGATTTATTAATATTATAAATTACTCTAATATGGCATAATACCAATAGGCAGCACAGGAATTCAGAAAAATGAGAAGTAGATATGAGAATTACCCAACAAATAGTTCATAAAATGAAAATCTGAGACCTGACTTAAAAGAAATGTAGTATATAGAGGATAGAACACAACAACCTGAAAAGTACTTATGTCACATGTCAAACCCTCTATGTATGAGGAAAATCTGGAATATTAGGAGATAATGCCTGAGAATGCTAGAAAAAGAAAGTAAAGGGGAAATCAGCAAGGATTTTCTACAAAATAAAGCTGAAAAGATTAGGTAAGGAATTATTATGGTAGTTTCAAAAAGAGAGATTTCAGTTTTAACAAGTAATTCTGTATCTTGTTAGGAAAGTAACAATACAAATTGAATGAATTAGGATAAAATTTATAATAAAGCCAACATGTATTTATAACAATGAAGAGATAAAGTAAAAGTTTTCCTAAAAAGAGAAATTTCATTTGACCCAGCTATTCCCAAAGTATCTTCCTCAAAGATACTTAAAGACATATTACAGGAATATATGCATATCCATGATTATAACAGCACAATTTATAATAGATAAATCTTTTTTCAATAATAGATAAATCTTGGAAACAGCCTATATGACCATTGCCAGATGAATGGATAAAGAACAAGAAATAGGAGGAGAGTATAAAGAAGGGAAGAAGGGGATGAAAGAACAAGAACTGGAGAAGGGAAAAATAAAGGAGACAGAGCTTTTGAAAATGGAAAAGAGCCCAAGAATTTGGAAGAAGCAGGGAGGTAGAAGAAGGTAGGGAATAAAATAAGGAGAGAAAAGTAAAATATTATGTACATGTACCAACTCTCCACAAAATAGTAATCATATGTACTGCAAGTGTGTACTAAAAAGTGTGAGTTTTCATTTTGTATATTAGTGTGAATGAGACTACATTAGAATAGCAAAATATTTCATAGCCTGATAAATATAACTGTGAACAGATTTATAAAAATGATGACCAATTCAGACTGAAATCATGGCAGAAACATAATTTAGCAATAGACAATGAGAAAGAATTTCAAAGCCAAGAAAGTAATTTTCATTTCAGACATATATACTGTCACAAAATACCTAAGAGGACAGACTGTACTTCTGAGGGACCAGAGTAGAGTTGAGAGAAATGTGCTGAATGTGCTATCTACATGTTAGCAGATAGCTAACACTATCTACTCTCTACATGTTAGCAGAGCTTAAGGTCTGAGAATGGATGTGGTCATTATCCTTTAAGGTTGATTCCTTGAAGATAAATTAGGGAATTAAGACTACGAGGACAAGCTAGGTACAGGAGTACAAGTGGTATGCTTGTAATACTAACACTAGGGAGGTTAAGGTAGGAAGACTGCTGAAGTTCAAGGCCAGGCCAGGCCACACAGTGAGCTCAGGGCCAGTCCAAACTGCATAGCAAGACCCTGCCTCAATTCCCACCCTGACCCAAAAGAGCTAAGAGTATAGAGAAAGAATACTTTTTTTCAGTACCAGAAATTGAACTCAAGATCTTGCACTTGTGAGGCAGGAGCTTATGGCACTGAGCTATACCCCTGGCCCAGTGAAAGAATATTTTTAAAAATGTGCATTATTTTGGTTAGGCACTGTTCAGGCAATAAGGCCACAGTGATGAAAAAGGACTAAGTTGTTAATAAGCGCTCAAGGAATCAGGGTAAGAATGCATCATCAGTGTTGTTTAACCAAACTAAGTGTTGATCTTAGGATGATCAGCACTAAAAGTGAACCACAAGGGCTTAATGAGGAAAAAATGGTATCTGTGGGATCAGATTGGGTAAGACAATTGAGTTTTAAAATTAACAGTTAAAGCCAAGTGTGGTGGTGCACACCTGTAATTCCAGCACTCAGGAGGCAAGAGGTTCACTGGGAGTTCAAGGCCAGCCTAAACTGCATAGCAAGATCCTGTCTCAAAACAATAACAACAAAAAACCCCAAATAACAAAAAAACAAACTTAACAACTATTAACAGCACTGGGGATTGAATCCAGGGCCGCCCCAACATGTGTATTTTGAAGAGTCTTAGGGGCTGGGGATTTAGCTCAGCGGCATAAGCGCCTGCCTTGCAAGCAGGTAGTCGTGAGTTCGATCCCTGGTACTGATAAAAATGAAAAAGGAAAAAAAAAAAAAAAAAAAAAAGGAAAGTCTCACTAAATTGCCCAGATTGGTCTTGAATTTTCAGTCCTGTTGGCTCCCGGAGTGCTGAGATCACAAGTAGTAACTATAGCTAGATCAATAGTAAGAATGGAAAGTTATACTTAGTGCAGCAAACAAATCTGAGGTATTATGAAGAAAAAGTAGGGCAAGAAAACAGTAAAGTAAGGCTCAGAGGTTTAGCTCGGCAGCATAAGCACTTGCCTGGCAAACACAAGGTCGTGAGTTTGATCCCCAGTACCAAAAAAAAAAAAAAAAAAAAAGTAATCAGGGAGAGAATCCACCAATAAGTTTTTCTTTTTTGAAGTATAAACAACCCCTGATAGGAATCATGATGGACAGATTGATAGAAAAAAGATATAAATCAAGAAAAAAAGATCAAGAAATCAAGAAAGAAAGCTTACAGTACATTGTGAGTTAAGTTATGAGAAACACCTTTGGCAATATAAAGTAAAAGTCTGAATTTAAAGCGAGTAATTATTTAGAAGTCTGTTATTTTTTGTTATTGGTTTTTCAAAGAAAGGAATCTTTCTATATTCCCTGGACAGGACTCAAAATTGCTGGTCTCTTAAAAAATATTCCTAAAACATTTCAAATCTACCACCTAATCTGTTTAAAATTTACTTTCTTTTAGTTTTCATCTGCCTGGAAGTCAAAAACTCACTTAAGCAGGCATGATCTGCAAATGACGTCCATGGCTCTTCTCCATGCTCCAATTTGAGGATCACATCAGGTTTGGTCATGTCACACCCTGATAAGGGAAAATATGACTTAAATTGATTGAGATTCAATACCTTTGAAAGAGCAAGATGGGAGGGTGGGGAGCAAAAGGGAGTAACAAAAAGAATTACGATGTTATGTACATGTACCAACTTTCCATGATTAATGTAATCATGATGTACTAATAACAAATTTTAAAAAGATGAGATACATATACATATATATAATATATTCAACACTGCAAAATAAGATTCTCATTTGTGCTACACTAAACTTAGCACCTTGTACTAGGCAAGTGAAGACAGTCACTTTTCTGCTAACCAAAAGCTTTTTATCACCTTTTATCCTTTAAACTGAAGATTAAATATATTTCAGACACTTTGAGAGGAACAGTGTCAGAGTTTTCCTTACCCAAAGAGATGAGGTGGCAATAATTTTCCAACATCACATCCATGTATAGAGTCTTCTGAGCAGAATCTAGGTGTTGCCATTCCTCCTGACTAAAGTCCACAGCCACATCTTTGAATGATACTGACCCCTGCAATAGATTAGGATTGTGATCAAACCAGGTTGACTAGACATTGAGGATGACTTGGGTTGTTTTTTTTTTTTTTTGTATGGGGACAGCATTTGACCCTACTTCTTATGGCATTCATACTAAAAAAACTATACAGAAAGACTACTGTTTTCCTTGTTTTGTGATTTATATTATAGGGAAATCAATGTGCAAGGTAGAAATACCTGCTACTGAATTTTTATTTATTTTATTAGAGACAGGGTTTCACCATGGAGTTCCAGCAGGCTTTGAACTCATTCTGTAGCCCAGGCTGGCCTCAAACTTATAGCAATCCTCCTGCCTTAGCAGGGACAGTTGTTCTTGCTCAGTGCAGGAACAATAGGCACATACTACCACCCCTAACCTGAATTTTTATAATGTAGTCTAAGTACTTCTACAATTCACTACATTCCAATAAAGTTTTATTTACAAAGACAGAGATCAGGCCTGATTTAGTCCATAGTTTGCCAATTTCTGGTCTCAGAGAAACCAATGAGGAGGAGGAGGAGAAAATGGAGGAGGAGCAGCAACAGGAGCAGAAGCAGGAACAACAGGAGCAGGAGAAGCAGGAGGAAAATGAGAAGAGGAAGAGGAAAAAGAGGAATAGGAGGAAGAAAAAAAAGGAGGAGAAATAAGAGGAAGAGGAGGAGAAGGAGGAGGGGGAGGAAGAGGAGAAAGATACTTCTAAACTGGGTGTGGTGCTGCACACCTGTAATCCCAGCACTCAGGAGGCTGAGGCAGGAAGATTGCTACAAGTTTGAGGTCAGCCTACGCTACATAGTGAGTTCAAGGCCAGCCTGAACTACACAGTGAGACCCTGTCTCAAAAAAAAAAGACACTTCTAATAGGAGTAAAAATAGAGTCATAACAAACTTATCTATCAAAAAGATGCAAAAAAAAAAAAAGAATTTTAAAAATAATTGAGGAAAGACTAGCAAGATAACAGTAAACATCAGCTGTATAAATAATTATATTAAATGAATTAAAAACTCCAGTTAGGGATGAATGTTATATTGGAGGAAAAAATTAAGGCCAAATTGTATGCTGTCTATAAGACATCCAGTATAAATATTAAGATATAGGTTAGGTAAAGTAAAAAGGATAGAAAATAGGTATGTCACATATTATGGTTTCACTGTGCTTATCTTTTCATTTTTAAAGCTTTATTCATGTGTTTATTTTGTGGGTTTTTTTTTTTTTTTTTTTTTTTTTTTTTTTGAGATAGAGTCTTACAATATAGTCCAGACTATGTTTTAACTATGTGGGCAGATTTTTTGTTTGTTAGAGACAGGGTCTCTACATGAAGTTCAGGTTAGCTTTGAGCTTGTGGAAGTGCTCCTGCCACAGCCTCCCTATGTGCTGAAATTATAGGTATGCACCACTTCTGGCTGGCTTTAAATTTGAGATGATCCTCCTGTCTCAGCCGCTTGAGTGCTAGGATTATAGGCATGTACCACTATAGCCAGCCAACATGAATTTTCTTTTCCTTTGTGGTGCTGGGGATCAAACTCATTGCCTATGCTAAGCAAATGCTCAACCAATGAGCCACATCCCAGGCTCTCAATGTGTTTAAAAATTCATGTACTGTTGATGCCATGATGGCACATATAAACTGTTTTAGAAATACCCTGGTATCAAATAGAAAAACTATAGACCAAATCCTTTATAACCACAGACCAAAAAACTCTTAACGCACTAGCAAATTCATCAAGCAATATATACAAAAGTATCATATCATGACCATGTGATGTTTCTCCTAGGGCTACTAAGTTTAACATCTTAAAATCACTCATTTTAATTTACCACAGTAAAAGAGAAAAGCCATATACTTCAACAACCAACATAGGAGGGTAGGGAAAAGATACTGAAAATGATTAAGATGTGCTAAATGTATATGGTAATTCCTCAAAACAAATGTAACTATTATAATTTGCAAACACACACTGATTTTAAAAAATATCAATAAATGCAGGAAAACCTTTTGACAAAACTCAACACCCATTTATGATAAAAATCATTAACAGTAGTGTAAGCACCTGCCTGGCAAGTGCAAGGTCCTGAGTTCAATTTCTAGCACACATACAGAAAATTATCCTACTAAAACTGCTTCAAGCATTTTAAAAAGAAAAAGAAAAACCAATGAAGTTGAAGCTCAGAGGCAATTTAGTGAGACATTCTCTCAAAATAAAAAACATAAAACTAAAATAAAAAGTCCCTAATTGTTACTGTCATAGTAGTGAAAGACTAAATGCTTTTCGCTTATGTCAGGCACACGTCAATAATGTCTGTGCTCACAATTTCTATTCAAAATTGTATGCTGAAGGTTTTAGATAAGTAGTAAGCAAAGCAATACAGAAAAGGAAAAAAATGCTATAATAATAGGATCTGGAAAAGATGCAGGTGAGTCATCATCTTCATTTTCATATACTAGCAATAAACAATGACATAAATAAAATGCAAGTTATAATAACAAAAGGTTCTAAGTGTTAATATACACAAAGATTCATAAGACTGATACAATGAAAACAACAAAACATACTGAGGGAACTCTCCTTCTCTCTCACTTTTATTTTTATATTTTTGGTGCTAGGAATTGAACCCAAGGACTTGAGCATGTGAGGCAGTGTATCACTGAGCTATGTCACTAGCCATGCTGACAGAATTTAAAGATGATCTAAACAAAAGACATATACATTATTCTTGAGCTGGACAGTTATATTATCATTAATGATTACTGTCCTTGAATTTAAATGTTTAATAAACATTTATTATTTATTTACCTATTTTTGTTTGGTTTTTTTTTGAGATGGAGGTCTTGCTATGTAGTTCAGGCTGGCATTGAACTCATTATGTAGTACAGGTTGTCCTGGAACTCAGGGCATCCTCCCACCTCCACCTCTCAAATGATGGAATTACAGGCATGTGCCACCATGCCCAGCTTCATAAGCATTTTCCTTTCCCTTACTGGATTTCTCTAAGCTGTTGTAGATGATGTTATAAGCATAAAGTGGGAAGCTATTTTTTTAATGTTATGATACAAACTTCTGTTTCAGGTGATGAAAATAGGTTCTGGAAATAGTGGTGATAGTTACACAACATTATGAGCGTACTTATTCATTAAATGTGTGTTAACAATGGTTAAAATGTAAATTTTATGTTGTACAATAAAAAGTTTTATTTTATTTATTTTTTGTACTGGGGATCAAACTCATGACCTCGCATTTGCCTGGCAGGTGCTTCAGCTACTAAACTAAATCCCCAGCCCTACAATAAAAATTTTTAAAAAGCATGAGGAACACAAAGACATGCAAACAAGCACCAGAGTAAGCATCTGATGAACTGAAAAAGCAGCAAAGGTATGAAGTATGTTAAATGAAAAGGTGAGGTTGGGCATGGTGGCACAAACCTGTAATCTCAGCACTCGAGCAGGCTGAGGCAGGAGACTGCAAGTCTGACCATATGTTTTTGAACTGGAAAGCAATATGCAACTCAGTGTGAAGGCTCTGAGATCAATTTTCAGTACTATCACTCCCTAAAAAAATTTTTTAATGGAAAACAAGTGCCAAGACTATAAGAGATGCACCCAAAAACAGTTATCAGTGGGATGGGGGGGGGCTATGGTATCAGAACAGATATTGCCACTAAATTGTTTCACAGTGGAAGAGACATTTGCTCTCAGCTGTATCATCAAGTGGGTAGAGGTTTGAAGAAAAGAATAGTTTAAAAAAACAATGTAATAGGATGGACAGAGGATAATGGAAGTAATTCATCTTGGACATTTAAGTCAAGTATGCGTGGAACACGCAGGTAGTGATACATATTTAGAGGATGAATAGTTCTCTCAAGACAGAGGTATAAAATTAAAATTATTTGAGCATCATTTAAGTAAGTGACAGGTTGAGAATACAGAACAGAAGACTAAAGAGGAAAAAAATTAATAACTAACTTCGAGAATACCATTAGGTAAGAGGTACAGAAATAAAGGGGGGTCTTTTGAATGAAACTGTAAAAAGTAGTGTCTTTGAAGCCAAAAGCAGAATATTTCAAGAGTTATACCCCTAGTTCAGTACAGTGTAGTGATCTATGCATTTACATTTACTTTTTCTGTATCTAAATATAAAATTAGAAGAAATTTAAAAATATAATTTTTTTTTTTAAATCGGTACTGGGGATTGAACTCACAACTGCCTGCTTGCAAGGCAGGTGCTTATGGTGCTGAGCTAAATCCCCAGCCCCAAAAATATAAAAAAATTATTACCAATATCAGTATATTAAGAAAGATGTTACTGGAAGGACACAGATTTTTATGAATTCTGAGCAAAATTAAAGGATAATAAAAGGTAAAACTCAGTTCTCTGTAGAAACTGCCAATCACACCTCCACCCTCAAAGCCTCAAGACAGGATTTTTTTTTCAGTACTGGCTATTTAACATTGAGCTACAACCTCAGCTCTTATTTTTTCACTTTGAGATAGGATCTTGCTAAGTCAATAAATTGTTCAGGCTGGGTGAAATTTATAATCTTCCTGCCTCAGCCCGAGAGTGGTGGTATTACAGGTTTACATCATTACACCCAACACTTCTTGCCATTTGACAGTACATTATCAGTTTCATGTTCATCATTTTACTCAGGTCTGTGGAAGTAACAAAAAATAAAACAAAACAAAACACTTTATATCTTTTTCTATCTACATAAGACAGGTTCATTCAATATTCTCATTAAGGATAGCTTCTAGAAGAACACTGAAAAAGGAGGAAAAGGGGACCAATTTCCTGAAAGGGAAGATGGAGAACAGGATTTAGGACAAAAAAAAGTCACATGCTCAATTATCCTTAAAAAAAATAAAAACAGCTGGGCATGATTGGTGCAAGCCTGTAATTCCAGTATTCAAAAGGCAGGAGGATCACTAAGTTTGAGGGCAGCCTGGGCTACAAACGGAGTTTAAGCCAGCATGGACCACACAAGAGTTCACGTCTAAAAATAAATAAACAAACAAAAACACAAACCAAAAAATAACTTTCAGAAATGAGTGCAGCTATCACCTCACCTGAGCCATCATTCTTAGATTTGGAAGAGATGACCAGTCTTTCCTTTGGGCTTCTCTTTTAGAGAAGGGCCAGTTCCTAAGACAGCAAAGCCAAGACAGAGGGGAAAATGCACATGAGACTTACATGCTTTATAGATCTCTTGTAACTTATGACTCAATTAAAACTGTTTACATTTTTTGATCATTGCTCACTCTGTATACATCCTAGATTAGTATGGGAGGAGGGATTTTCAAATTCAAAGATACAGGCTTTGAGGGGAAAGCAGCATAGATGTGGGGGCAAACTCTTTCACCTCAAGCATCATGATTTCTCTTCTGAGCAGCCAGTTGTTACTGATGATTTTTCTAAACTAGTTTCCCTTAGGGTTCTCTCACTTGCTTTTACACTACCAGTAGTAATAAGTACTATGAGAACAATTATCACTCTATTCTCTGAGGAATAATGATATACTTTTGTTTGCCAAAAGGCACAGACTGTGGTTCTAATTTTTATATTGTAGTTTCTTTGTAAGTCAAAAAAGCATCTTAGTTTCTTGTATTTGTCATTTCATTCTATTAGGTTTTTATCCTCTATATTGGTATTAGATCTTTTTTTTTATTTTTGGTATTGGGAACAGAATTCAGGATCTTGTGCTTGTCAGGCAGGTGCTTATGTTCCTTAGGGTTCCCAGCCCCTAAGATCTTTTTTAAAGGAAGGAATTTATCCTTTTATGGTATAAGTTACAAATGATTTTTTTTTTTTATTGGTACCAGGGATCGAACTCACGACCACCTGCTTGCAAAGCAGGTGCTTATGCCACTGAGCTAAATCCTCAGCCCTCCAAATGATTTTTATAGTTTCTCATTTTACTGTGTTTACTCACACAAAAATACAATTTAAGTGCTGGAAGTATAGCATAGTTGTAGCACTGTGCTCGTCTAGAATGAATGAGGTCCTGGGTTTAATTCCTGGCAATGCAAAAAGATAAAAAAATTAGAAATTATTTTGGATTTGGAGACATACTAAGTGGGAAATCACATGGTTAGCATGTACAAGGCTGAGTTCAATCCCCAGCACTTAAAAAAAAAAAGTTTAGCCATATGGTTAATACCACCAGGTACTCAATAATCTGTATTTGCCTCACTCATCAAAACTATCTTTCTTATGTACTTTATTTCCTTCCTACTGTAGTACGAGTTGATCTGGGTATATTCCTACTTAATCCCATTGATCTGTTCATGTATCTAATTACCAGGATCATCCTGTAGTTATTACAGGGGTTTTTGATGTTGTTTTTTGAGACAGGGTCTCAGTATGTAGTTTTTTGCCTTGAACACACTATGTAGCCCAGGCTGGCCTTGAACTATAGCAATCTTCCTGCCTCAGCTTCCCAAATTCTGGGATTATAGGTTGTATGTCACACTAGGTTTATGATAGCTTTAAAACATATTTTTACATCTACTAAAACTATTGCCCCTTTGATTATTTTTATCTTTCAGGATTTCTGGTTTGCTAAAAATTTTACTGAACTTTTAACGGCACTGTATTCCACTTAAATAGGAGTTGTGCCATTTTATCATGTTGTATCTTTTTATTCATGCTTTAATTTTTAAATGTGCTTTTTTGGGACATATCATGCAATTTTTGTTGGTCACTGTACATATAATCTTTTTTTCCCATAGTTTTGTGATGTACATACTACTGATTTGTTAATGTTTCCAATGACCCTCTGGGTTTCCTAACTGTTGTCACTGTTCATTTTTACAATAGTAACTCTTGTAAATCTTTTTTTTTTTATCGGTACCGGGGATCGAACTCACGCTTGCAAAGCAGGCGCTTATGCGGCTGAGCTAAATCCCCAGCCCCAACTCTTGTAAATCTTACAAATCTGCTTCAGTCTCAATTTGTATTCCAAAAAGAGTGACTGAAACAAAATTCAGAGTCCTTCACTCTAAAATAAGGTCTTCTAAAGATGCCACCTACAGTTTTGCTATCATTAATATTACTCCTTATAAAAGGCTGGGAAGACTGCCTCTTTAAGTAAATTTTTTTTTGTTTTTTTCCTTTTTATTGGTACCAGGGACCGAACTCAGGCCTGCCTGCTTGCAAGGCAGGCACTTATGCCGCTGAGCTAAATCCCCAGCCCCAGTAAGTTATTTTTTGAAAGTGAATGCTTCTTCATAACAAACTATGGGTCCCTCACAGCCTGGTATCACTAGCAACTGAAGTGGTAATCCTTAGACAAAATGTACATATTCCCAGGACATGGAAGGATAAAGGAAGAGTAATTCTCACCTTAAACTTAGATGAGCACCCCATAAATGGAGACTACCTGGGGTGTTATGGATCCTATCCAAGAGGACTGACTGAACAAGATCCACCAGGGCAGGTGAGCCACTGCATGCCCAGAGGAAGCACTGAGACAGCAGCTGGAGAAAAGGCTGTGTATCTGGAAGTTCCCAGAAGAAGGTTCTCTCAGAAGGTAAGAGATGACTTTCACTAAATTATAGTGCTACCACGTCATGTTAGCCTCCTCTTGTTCCTGACTTTTGACTTTCTCCTTTTTCAGCTCCTAATCCATTTGAGCTGGAGATTAGTCACCTATAGGGAATAAAAAGAGTCAAAATAGAGCTTGTGGAACTAGAGAAAAAAAAATGATCATTATCCTTTCACACTGAAGACTTCTGGCAGGAAGAAGAAAAAAGTTTTTGTTTTTGTTTTTTGAGACAGATCTTGCTGCATAGTTCAGGGTGGCCTTGAACTCACTGTATAGTCCAGGATGGTTTCAAACTTGCAGAAATACTCCTGCTTAAATTTCTTAAATATTGGGTTTGGGCTGGGGATTTAGTTCAGTGGCATAAGTACCTGCTTGGCAAGCATGAGGTCATGTTTTCAATCCCCCTACCAAAAAAAAAAGGACTGGGATCACAGATGTGTGCCACCATGCCCAGCAAAAAGTTTTTCCTTTTAAAACAAGTTTGATTTCTTCAGTCAACATTTTAATTAGTTAAGTGAACTGAGACTGATCTTGTGTTTAAATGTTCAAAAGATTTTATTATTTTAAGAATGTGACAAGATTATTGAATTTCTCAAAAAATTCATTCAGCAGTAGACAAAAATTTACCCAAAATAGAAATTTTGAGTGTCAGTTAAGGGATAAAGTTTTTGTTTTGCAGTACTGGAGACTGAACCTAGGGCCTTTGCATTGAGTTACATCTTCAGTCCTTTTATTAAAATTTGAAACAGGTTCTTGTTAAATTGCCTGGGCTGGGCTTGAACTGGGCAGTCCTGTCTCAGACTTACAGAGGGCTAGGATTATGTACCAGTAAGACTGGCACCTGAAAATTAATTTTATCATCTCTTATTTGTCTAACTACCACAGAGTCAAATTCTACAGCATGTGGTCAATTTTTGGAGAACCTAAACAATGTATAACTAACTAGTCAACACCCAGTTCATTCACACAAGACACATTCAGAGTTATCACGGATTGTGTAGAGAAAAATGCTACAAAAATTAGACATAGTCACAACTGTATCACCCAATAGTCATAATCTTGTAGGCCCTACATCAGGTGCAATCTCAGAGCCATAACATACTTTTTCTACACAAAGTTTCAAAAATTCACTCAAAATCCCGTCTCCTCTCCAAAGTCGCACCTTCTAAAACACAAATGAATGCTCATCTTAGATTAAAAACTTACACACTTTCTTAAATAATCAGCTCCACGTCACATTAAGGTAGACTTCTCCCACTCATAAACATAGGCACAAAAGCCACTCAAATATCCCGCCTGTTGTGTCAAGCTGCACTCCAGACGCTTGGATTTCCTGGGAGAAGGGGAAAAAAAGGCAAAATTCCTGCCCTTGCTGAGTTCACAACAGCTTCAGGCTCCGGGTTCCTCGCTCCATTGCTTCCAGCTGGCGTTCCAGGTTCCTAGGTTCTTACTTCCCTTCTTGTCTTTCCTGGGGCCTGGACTCTCGCTTCCCTCACCGTTTTCCTCGGTCCTGGTATCTTTCTTTTCTTGGTTTTCACCCTGGCTCCTGCCTCCCTCCTTGGCTTCCTGAACCGATTTCTACTACCGACTGGCCCCTTCGCGCCAGCACTACCCAATGGCCTCACCTTCGGCCACTAGCCAGTAGTCCGCGCCTGCGCACTCCCGCGCGGTCTGTCTCCCAGGGGTCTCAGCGGCTAGTTCCTTTGATCCGCGGTCTACGCGCGGTCTTGACATCCGGGCTTTTCCCACCTTAAACTACATTTCCCACAGACCCCCGGGCAAGTTTCAACTTTGAAAGCAGATTCTAGTTTTAAATCTTCTTTACTAGCTCCAGGGAATAACCTGAGTCCTGATTAAACAGGCAATGGGATAAACCAACCTTGACCGCTAGGGATTCGTGGATCCTGAAGCTCAGATCTATGTAACCGTGTATTCATGCGTGTGTGTTTGTGAGGAGGCATTGTGTATGACTGTACCCGTGTACCTGCTCTGATGCGGGGCCTTTTGTGACAGTTGTGATGTATGTGACACTGGGATTTGAAAACATTCATAACATGACATTTCTGCTGTGATGAGTTGTGACAGAAGAGGCTTTTAATTCTGTGGTGTTGACTACATAACTATGTTATTTTTGGAACGAAGGGGTATTTTGAAGGAAGATTTTCCTTATTGGGTATCTGTGAGTGTGAAGACTACAGTCGACATATCTGGTGAACAGGATCGCTTTAATAAGAAAGATGACTTGATTTGCCTTCATCAAGTCAACCTCACTTCCATAGTTCAGCCTGGTGTTTATGGTGGGTGTAGATGTGTGAGTCCTGCTGAAAGTGCCAGTTTTAGGTTTGATTGTTTCTTGGGATCTGTAGCCCTGAATTCCCTGCTGCTTCTTTTTTCCTCCAAGTTTATACCTTTGTGGACTCCAGCTGCAAAGAAATGATCAACCAAAAGGAAGTCAGATGTTTGAATGGTAGAATACAGGCTGTTAACAGAAAAGGTGCAAACCTGTGTTTTGGAATGAGGCTTTTGGGGTTGGAAATGTGCCTTACACTTAGGCAGAGTTCTAGCAACACAAGTGAGAACCTATAGTATTTTTCCTTGGAGGATCTCCTTAGAAAACTGAGTTCAAAGTTCTATGTTTCAGAACCACTACACTCTCAGAGATATCTCCCCAGGAAACGGCTGTGAATTTAGTTTTCAGTTCAGGATATCAATGACTTTGGCCTTCTTTCTTGGATATTCAGAAGTGTTAGCAGTACCCTCATTTTTCTCTTACTACCTCAAAATTAACAATGATTTTGACCTCCCTCGTAATTAGTTATTTTGTTTGGTTGTGAAATTTATGTAAGTGGAATCATACAGCATATGATTTGCATAAGAGTACCTTATGCTTAACATTGTATCTCTTGATATAAGGTACTGGGACTGACTGTGGCACCTTGCTTCATGCTAGGCAAGTACTCTATTACTACTGCCTTATATATCCAGCCCTTTAAAAAGATTTTTTTTTGAGACAAAGTCTTGCTAATTGCCCAACCTGATCTCAAATTTACAATTCTCCTACCTCAGTCTCCTAGCTGAAATTAAAGGCATGTAACACTATACCCAGCTTTACACCAGTCTTTTGATGTATTTATGAAATCAATATAGGTATGATGGCATATGTCTGCAATTCCAGCACTATAATAGCCAAGTGTGGTGGTGCATGTCTGTAATCCTCCATCTGAAGCAGGAGACATTTGAGGCCAGCATAGGCTACATAGTGAGTTAAAGGCCAGCCTGAACCATGTAGCAAAGAAAACAAAACAGTATATATTAATATATTCTCAGCACTGTGAATGGGCTGAGGCAGGAGGACTCCCAGGTTCAAGCCCAGTCTGGGCAACTTAAAAGAGACCTTTTCTCAAAATAAAAAAGTCTTGGGATGTAGCTCAATACAAAAATATTGGGTTCAATCCTCAGTACCACAAAACAAATGAGTCAGTTGTGACATATATTATTTAGCTTTAATAGATATTGCAAAATTTTTTTCTTTTTTGAGACAGGATCTTACAGTGTTTAGGCTGGTCTTGAGCTCACTTTATGGCCCAGGCTGGTCTCAAAATTGTAACAATCCTTCTGCCTCCACCTCCGAGTGCAGGGAGTACAGGCATGTGCCACCATGCCTACCTTGCAAAAATAGTTTTTGAAAGTAATTATCCAATTGTACAATTCCATCTGCAATGTATAAAAATCATTGTTGCTTCATATCATTGGTAGTCTTAGTCTTAATTTTAGTCATTCTACTGGGTATGAAGTGGTACATCATAGATTTAATTTGCATTTGCCTTATGATTAATGCTACAAAGATTGGTTCTAGTAGATGATGGAATAACTCCACTATTCACAGAGCAAGAATAAAGAAAATTAACGTTTTTACAATACAATAATAAATGCATATTTCTACTGAAAGACCCAGCATTTTATCCCAGAGAAACAAAAGCTTGTTTACATACAAATGTTCATGGTACATGCTCTGACTGAATATGGTTGAAATGTACCTTCCAAAGTAGAGGCTTGGATTCTAGCGCAGTGATATGGGACCTTTAACAGGTAGGGTCTAGAGGGAGGTCCTTAGGTCACTGAGGATATCACTAAGGCATTAAGGTACTTCTTATGAGAGCAAATTGTAACAAGAGGAAGTCCAACTCCTGATTCATTGTCTGACTTCTTTTGAGATATTTCTTTTTTCCACACATGCTTCTGCCATGATGTGGTCTCCTATGATGTGACACAGTCAAGGAGACCCTTACCAGAGCTGAACTGATGTAGGCACCATGCTTTTGAACCTCTAGAACTGTGAGCTAAATAAACTTCTTTACAAAGTTAGCGTGTACTGGGCGTGGTGGCTCACACCTGTAATCCCAGCACTCAGGAGGCTGAGGCAGGAGGATCCTTGTGAGTTCAAGACCAGCCTGGGCTACAAAGTGAGCTCAAGGCCAGCATGAACTGCATAGTGAGACCCTGTCTCAAAAAGACAAAAAAAAAATCAAAGTTAGCATGCTTTGGGTATTTCTTTATTATAATAAAAAATCTGACCAATACAGCAGCTTTATTTATAATAACCAAAACATGAAAACACCTCAAATGTCTTCAACAGTTAAATGGTTGTACAAACAAGGGTACATCTATACCAGTGGTTGTGAACCTGTGGCATGTGTATTATCATCTTATTTTAAGACAAAAGATGTTAAGAAAATAAATTTTAAAAAGGGCTGGGGATTTAGCTCAGTGGTGTAAATGCCTGCCTGGCAACTGTGAGATTGTAAATTTGATCCCCAGTACTGGGGGGAAAAAGATGAAAGATATTAATATGTGAGAGGTTTTGTGTGTGTATGTGTGTGGTACTGGGGATTAAACTCATGACCTTGCACTTACCAGGCAGGCGCTTATGCTGCTCAGTTAAATCCCCAGTGAGGTGTTTTTTTTTTTTTTTTAAAACCTGGAAATGAACTCAGGACCTTGCACTTGCCAATGAGTTGTTTTTTCTTTTTCTTTTTTTTGATTTTTTGAGACAGGATCTTATTATGTAGTTCAGGCTTGTTCAACTCACTATGCAGCCCAGATTGGCCTTGAATTTAGGCCAATCTAAATTCAAGGCCAATCTGGGCTGCATAGTGAGTTGACTTGCAGTGATCTACTCGCTCTTTCTTTCTTTCTTTCTTTTTCTTTTTTTTTGTACAGGGGTCAAACTCAGGACCTCATGCTTGCCAGGCAGGTGCTTATGCCACTAAGTTAAATCTCTGGCCTTGCTTTTTCTAAAATAAGACCTCAGTGGTGGCACATGCCTGTAATTCCAGCACTCAGGAGGCTGAGGTAGGAGGATTGCTGCAAATTCAAGGCCAGCACTGGACCACAAAGTGAGCTCAAAACTAGCCAGAACTGCACAGCAAGAACCTGTTTCAAAAAGACAAAAAATAGATAAATAAAATAAAACCTCAGTACTCAGGTTTAATTGCAGTGTTTGCACTTTGTGGAAATAAGTGGATTTTAGTTTGTAGTTTGGGCACTCAGCCTCTAAAAGTTTCACTATTACTGACCTACCTATACAATGGGAAAATACTCAGCAATAAAAAGGAATGAACTATTGAAATGCACAATTTGGATGGACCACAAAGAAATTATGCTTGAGTGAAATAAAAAGCCAATCTCATAAGGTCACAAAGTGTGCGATTCCATTTATGTAACACTTTTAAAAAGACAAATATTATAGCCTCAGATTAGAAGCTTTCTAGGGTTGGAGGAGAGTTGGCTGTGTCTGTGAAATGGTACCACAAGAAATAAACTTGTGGGGCTAGGGATTTAGCTCAGTGGCATAAATGCCTGCCTGGCAAGTACAACGTTGTGAGTTCAATTCCCAAAAAAAAAAAAAAAAAAAAAAAAAGAAAGAAAGAAATAAACTTGTGATGGTACTGTTTTAAGTCATGGTGGTGGTAGTTATCACATTACTAATAAAAACTGCATAGAATTAAACATACACAACATACACAAAGCTATACATACAAATGAATGCATATAAGACAGGTCTGAGCTGTTGGTTCTAGAGAAGCTTTGGTCCTTACCTTGAGCATTGCTTCTTGGCTTCGGAGGGGAAAACATGTGCTGCTTGGTCTCCGGGATGAACTCATCACGCTGCTTCCTGGCACATACCCAACTGTGCTTGTCAGAGGAGGAGCTCGGGGCCTCCGTGTCGCTGAGGACAGCTGTGGTGGCTTTCAGGATAGCCCTGGTCTTGTTGTGTGACTTCTCAGCTCCAGCATAGAACGCTCATCCCACTAGTACAGCTCCTTCATCCTACTGGCATAAACTTTCTGGCTTCCACTGCTGACCCTTGGGTCTTCCCGGCATGGATCCGTAAAAGAGGCTGACATGATTCCTTCTTGTGGGCTCTGGACCTCCAGTTGGACTTATGGGAGGTGTTGTCCTGAGCTCTGGGTTTTTATCTGGACTCATGTGGGACATTGCCATGGGGTTTAGGCTCTTGACTAAATAATCTATGTCTCTGGTGTTGTGGATAGATTTCCTGCATTTTCCTGTGTTAACTTCTGGTGACCATTATAAAAATATTATAAACTCCATGTCCTGATCTGAATTGTTCTCTGTGTACAATCCCTGAGTACAACATTACTTGTACTTTATTTACATAAGTTATTACCATCAGGGGAAACCAGGTGAAGGTCTATTATTTCATTATTATTATTATTATTATTATTGGTACT